TCAAAACAGTTATTCTATCTGACTGCCACATTTTTCCACAATCACAAAAATTACACACACACACACACACACACACACACACACACACACACACACATACACACACACGTCAATATCAGAATGGACACTGCCAAAAAATCAGATTATTGATGTAGACATTCCAGTTGTCTGTGTTACAGAGAACAAGAAGTGAACTTAAATAAATATGTTGTTCTCACTTTTAAAGAGGATTAAATAAGCAATGAGAGGTTAACCTCTTTAATCTTTAGTGTCTTCATCTGCAAATCCTCCTGAGATCGCTATGATGGTTAATTAAACTAGTTGGTTCATGCAATGCACTTAGCACAATGCTTGGAATATCATTAGTGCTTAACACATGACTTTATTATCATTATCATTATTATTATCATGATTGTTATTATTATTATCATTATTATTGTCACTGGTGGCAGACACACATCTCTGATGCCCACTTCAGTTTCCTTTTCACATTACCACTCTGAACCATTTTAAGTATACTTTTCTAACCAATAACCAGAATCACCAGTGTCTATATTGCCGGTCTTTCAAATGAGCTCCTTGATCAAATCAGTTAGGAAGCTTTCATTTGGGAAAATCACTTAAGAAAAACAGAGTTTATAGTTGTATTTATTATGAGGGTTAAGCTAAATAATGTATGTGAAAGCATTTTGAAAACTTCTAAGTGCCGTACAAATAAGATACGATATATTTTATTGGATAGTATCCATAGTAATATGAGAAGGCTGGGGATACATATCAGAAAAATAGGGTGTGATTGTGGCATCTGTGAATAATAACGGATAGGGTGTGAGTGAATCAGCCTAATGGAGAAAGCCTGAAACTGAGAAGAGCATAGAGGAGGCACCAGGCCCAGGTGGCTAATTAAATTAACTAAAATGAAACACAGCTAAAAACTCAATTCCTCAGTGGCACTAGCCCCATGACAAGTGCACACTAGCCACATCACAAGTGATAAATAATCACATGGCGCTAGTGGCTACCCTATTGGAGAGAGAAGATAAAAAACAATTCCATTGTTGCAGACAATTCTATGGGATGCAGTGCTCTAAAGAAATGAGGAGGGAAAGAGATTTGAGATTGCTTTCAAAATTCAAAAAGAATTAAAAGAGATTGTTTTATTTCATGGTTGATCATGACTTATAGCTTTATAGTTTTTGACATTTCCCAGGTTTGCAGAATTAACATATGTTACTTCAGAAAACTGTTTTGTGTTACTGTTTTTTAATGAGAAAATACAGTTGTCTCCTCATCTTAACTTAATTCTCAGTACCTCTATTGCTTGCTGTCTCTTCTGTAACAACCATGTACAAACCCCCCAGGCTTAATCCTCATGGTTCATCTAGCCAAAAATTTTTCCTGAATTAAAATAAGAATTAGGCTTTTGATTGTTTCTTTACTTTTACTCATGTGTTTTGTGCTAGCTACCTCATTTCTCACTAGATCATTTAATGTGTTACCTCTGATTATGTAAGTTTCAACATAGAATTTGGAATTAAAGTCAAATAACTTGAAAAAGAGAAAACTGGTATAAATTTTCAGTAAAACCACCATATAAAAATAAATTTGTACCATTTAATATGCTTTTAACATACTGTATACTGGGGGCTGATTTCTATCCCCACTACTCATCACACTTAAAGGAACATGAAAGTAAATCAGAACATTTGTTTTCATTCTTTGACATTTTCTTTTCTGATTCTGACTTTCTTATTGATCAAAACCCAGAAAGGAAGCAAGTCACCTTGAGGAACATTACCACTCAAAGGGGAATTCATTGGGAGGAATAGATGCCCTGAACTCATTCTCTTCCCTCCCTTTGATTTTTTGGTGGGCTTCTTCCCAGGCCTTTGCATTTCTAAAAAGTCCCCAGATTTTGCTATTGTTACCAGCCAAGGACCATACTTCAAGAACACTACATTTGAATAACCTGAAGAGCTTCTATAAATTGTCACATCCAAGCATGCCACACCAAATTCATCAGAATCTTTGAAAACATGTTTGGTAAATATTCTAGAATAGTCCATAATCTAGAATATGCACATAAGTTTGAAAACCACTGGCTAGACTAAGAAATAAATAATTGTTTGGGTACTCTAAGTAGATAGCTCTAAAACAATTCAAGCACAGATCTATCCTTTGTTTTGGTTAAATATCTGTAATTAACCAATTTCAGAATAAAACATGTAATATATATGCATGAAAATATGTGTTTCTGTATGTGGTATATATGTGAGTTTGAGTGGGTATAAATTAGTTTTAATCAGTCTTCCAAACAGGTTAACTAATATTTTTAAACTCTAATCAGGAATCCATATTCCAGAGGTGTCTACTATAAGAGCTACACAAATCCTTGCCTCTACCTACACAAGAGAGTATGCCAGTTAGCATAAGGGCTATTAGAAATAGTTTTCATTGGTTACATGAATGTTCAGGTATGTGGGTTGACCATAAATATTGTACAAGCAACTCCATAAAAGTTTCTAGAAAGCCCAGAAGCCCACAGAGACTAGAATATAGCACCCCTATGCCTAGCACTCCATTCAATCTCATGTCTCTCAATTTAGGGAAGTTTATATCAACAAATCTGATTAGGTATTGGCTCATCCTATTATTAGAACACATGCTGTCATATCTGAGTCAAGTGAAGAACTTTCATGTACTATTGATGCAAGTTATTGTTCAGAATGCCCAAGAGAGAGCTGAAACTATACTGTTTTTTTAGTGTTTGTATATTTTCAGCGTGAACAACTTTATGTGTTCAAGCATGATTACACAGTGGTTTTGTTTTCTTCTTAATCCATCGTGGTCACAGAGAAGCCTTGTCTGGTGTTGATGCTCTGTGAAATTGTTTATGTTCAACAGGAGAACACCATGGCCTAACTATAAGCATCAGGCTAGCTCCTAGCTACACCAAGACCTCCCTGACCATGCAGTCAGTTCCTAACTATCACTTTAATCAATTGTATGGAAACATAAACCAAGGACTATAACCTAATCCAGGAGATCATGCTGGCTTTCTGGAGTAACTGCCATTTAAACTGAGAGTTTAAAAGTTAAGAGGTCTTTTGTTGCCATGTCCCAGTGGTTCATTTAGCCCTTTCTTCCATTTTCTTCCACTCATCAACACTATTTTTTCCTACATGTGAATTATGCATAGAAAACACAAATTAAATCTGGCTTCTTACACCATTCCAAATCTTCTCCAATGTAAGAACATTCCCTGACTACAGAGTTTCTATGGGTAGCATCTGTTAAAAGTTCCTATGAGAAAATAATAATAATGATGACGATGATGATACCTGTTCAACTTAAAGGGTAAATGGTAAATAATGCACACAAGAAGTGAACCAGAGATGTTTAAAGACATCACAGATTATTGGACAGAAAATAAAATAATCTAATGTTTCCTTTCAAATTTATGTTTCTAATTTAAAGTGGAATGTCTAAAAAAAAAATGAAAGCGTTGGCCTTCAAAGTTACTGAGCTTTTACTGATAACTGAAGAAAGGGTGAGAAAAGAAAATGTATACTCGTTTTCCCTTATTTCAAATATTTTTGGTACAAATGAGGAAAAAAAAGTTTATCTTGCACCAGAATTAATGAACTGTCCTGCAAAACTCTCTGAAAAAGTCTTTAAATCTCATAGAATCCCAGAGCTTCAAAAGATTTCAGGAGGTTAGAGAAAATCAAAGCCTTGGATCAATGGGCTGAACAAGAGATGATGTAAATAAGACCCTCCCATAGTCTGGCAAAATGGAAGCACCCCTCTGAGAACTGGCTGTGCATCTCTACTGAGAAAAGTGTACCCTGGCTTTAGATACAGAGAGCCCAGGAGGTAGGATCTGAATGATTATGCGCTGAGTAACTTGAGACATTTCACACTACTTACAGTTTGAATATTTTTATTCCCAGGGGCATTTTTATTTTGAATATTTAGGCCTGAGGGTCAACTACAGTAATAGTAAAACATGGTAGAGGAGTTACTTTGTACTTTTCTAGCCATCGAGAGCTAATGCATTAGTGTACATCTCAAATAGTCATTTTTTCTTATTTTAGTTATAAGTTTAGATTTAATATCAACAAATACCTATGAGGACTGCCTAATTTGTCAAAAATTGTGCAGGTGCTTTTACCTCACTGCCATACAATAGACAATAAGTATTGATAAGCCTGGTTTTTTGAAGAATGGTTACTAAGGAACCACATTCTTTTCTATATGACATTTAGTAAAGCAAAATCCTGCTGATGGTGAGAAGCTCAGCATATGAAACAGTACAGAAATCTCATCACTGATCAAGAGGCAATCTTCAAAGTACATTTAGTACAGATTCAGAAATGTTGCCAAATCCATTCAGAGATCCAAGCATGTAAATCCACACAGTAGATCTCTTTTATAGATATGGAGTCTGAATACAGTTAGAATACAAATCAATTTCATAGGCATGCATAAAGATATCTGTATAATAACAGGGTACCAAATCCAGTGCATAGCATTTAAGAATTAGCAAGAGAATGTAGGGGCTAATTGCTATCTAAAATATAAAAGGACCCAAAATATAATACCTGAAATCTAATTCCTTCCCACTACAATATGCAATAGTGGGTGTTTAAAAGGTAAGACACTCAGATTTCACATTTCTTTTATACCACCAAATATTTGCCAACATATGAGTATTTTATACAATCAGACATATTTTAAAAGGTTGTAAATTCTGCTAATTAAAAGTGATACAACCAGGTGAAAGAGCAGCCTCCGCAGCATAGGGGTGTCAGAAACTGACTGACAGAAATGCCACACTGAGTCAGGATCCTCTGAAATTTCTCTTTTCTTTTCTTCAACTGCCCTGTTTTGCATATTTACACGTGATTTCGCTCGATATTTCCCTTTTTGTAAATAGTCATTTTGCTCTATGTTTAAAAAAAGGAAAACAGATACGAACATTTATTTTGGCTGTTTTATTGCAATGTATTGCTGACAGGTACTATTAGCTGCTATCTGACATACCAAACATAAATAAACAGTGAAGCTGGCTCGAGACTCTGCCCAGCTTTGGAAAACAGAGGAACGCGACGGTAACCTGCAAAGGGAATCATATCTAATTAGAACAATCAAAATAAATTAACCATCAGTGGTCTTAGAGTGCTACCGAGAAAAAAATATATCTTTACTAAGCGTGCATTAAAAACTATGACTGTATAGTTCCATTTGTCTTGTATGTTAATTTTCCACAAAACTGAAATATTTAAGTTTCTCTTCTGACCTTCTACTGAGTAACTGAAGACACAGCTCACGCTTTTCCTTCAAGTGCAGCATCTCCAAATTTTGCCACCACCCTTGTGCTTCAGACTCTGTTTCCTAGGTCTATCTCAGGTGGTGTTAGAAAAGGAAACAGACTGAGACGAGGTAATTGGGAGTTCAGCGTAAATCACCCTGCGAGGTAACTACAACATAAATGCAGCCCTCGAGACAGTCGAGAAAGAACAGTCTTGGGCTCCCAGTCTCATCTCCTCAGGTGGGAAGAACAAGTCACTGGCTCTCCCTCCTCTTTCATTGCCATCCTTCATTTCTTTATGATAGTCGTGACTATTCTTAAATGAAACAAAAAAGCTATGATCCAAGTAAAGAAATGTTCATACATGCCAAGTTTGCCAAATCAATCTTCCTAGAGATCCCACACCCCAATCTCCCATTCTGTATTTCTATCATTCTGTTAAGAGAAAACATGTGTCAATACATAAAATTTCCTTCACATCTGGCTGTCCTGGATAGGACTATTTGTTATATCAAAGTATGTCTCTGGTAAACTCAAGTTATATTTAAACATCAGCACAATCATTTTATTTTTAGGAATATTACCTTTACTCATGCATAGAACTGGTAAAGTATATTGCCCAAGAAATTCATTTCCGGTTATCATACTTTGATTTTCCACAACAAAGCGTATCAATGCCAATTCTGGTACCTGAATAATAAATGTGAATGTTTCATCCCATCTTGGACTAAAAGCTGAAACATAAAGAAATAGATAGTACCAAAGAGTCACAGACATTATTTCTAGAAAAGGAATAATACCTGTTCTCCAAAATTTTTCTTTTCAATACTTGAATAATAATATCTTATGTTTTAGAGCACTTCAATTTTTAATGCACCCATTGAGAAAATAATAATGACAATAACAATATTTGTTGGGTGTTTCCTACTGCTGGGTAGTGTTCTAAGAACTTTAAGTAGATTAATATCATTTAAACCTCACAACAACCACATCAAGGTTATTAACTATCCACATTTACAGATGAAAAAACTGAGCCAGGAAGATGCTATATAACTTCTTAAGGGTTTCACATACACAGCCATTAAGTGGGGGCATAGGAATTCAAATAAATGGAGTCTGATTTCAGAGCAGAAATGTCTCATCAGTATGCAATATGGCTGCTGTGTTTAGGCATTTCATTAACAAAGAAGTTGAGACATAAATAAGTAACATCATTTTTTATACCAGGTCCTATTATGGGCAGAGCTCCATGGATAGCTGTTGGACTGAAAACTAGATCATGAGTGCTCTAAAGTCAGCTCTTGACCTTTCTTTTGACTAAGTGCTTTCTAAAGTCCAAAGTTGATGAGTAATTTAGGTCTCTAGCAAAATAGATCATCCAAACAACAATCTATTGTCAAACAAGTAATCCAAATTGTGTCACAATGTAATGGAAACCATCCAATATTGAAGCATAATTTAATGGAATCCAGAAATTCACATCCAGATAAAATAAAATGTACTTAATAAAGACTCAAAGGTTTAGAGAGACATAATATACATCGGTTTTCATGGACAAAGGAAATGCTATGCATTCTGTGTCAATAGCTTTTGCTCTTTTTTTTTTTGCTTTTGTTCTTTGAATTACATTTCTAGAAACACTGAAGAATTTGTGGTTAATTACGTATACTTTATCTATGTTTTCTGTGGTGTCTCTGTGTTCACAAGTGTACATTTACTGGACAATAATCCAGTCTATGTCCACAAATACATAAAACTAATTTGAGCCATGCTGGAATAATGACAGTGTTACCTTGCCCTAAGAAGAGAATTCCACGGAGTACAGGGGCAGGTATAAGAGTCAATTCTTCACAGACACTGCAAAATATCTGCACAAAATTCTTATACTGATTTATTCTACCTACCTCTTTCAACACCACTTAACTATAAACCCTCTATAATCTCTCTCTCTCTCTCTCTCTCTCTCTCTCTCTCTCTCTCTCTCTCTCTCTCTTTCACACACACACACACACACACAATCATATATATTACGAGACAGTCCCTTAGTTGTCCAAAAAAGTAAAACAGAATACCAAATTTGATAGTCCAAATATAATTTTCCCTAGCATAACCAAAAATAAAGAATTACTTTTACACCTTATCCAAAAATGATCTTCTTCCTCCCAGACTCTCACATCTTTCATTGCCATTACCCTAGAAGCTAAGCTGCCTTAGAACCCCTTTTGTCCAACTACCTAAACTTTTACTCTTGATAGTCTACCTCACACACATCCTCCATTTATTTTCTGATGCCACAATTCTTCTTTATAACCTGACTTCTACATCCTCTGTGAAATCATATCCTAACTCAATTTTGTATTTCTCATTTCCCTCTCATATACTTTTTATCTAATCTGCAGCAACAGTCTCCCTAAAGCTCAATTCTGTTAGTGTTATATCCCTGATTAAAAATTTTAACCTTATTCATTTTCTATAGAAAAGAAAGCTCCTACATCTTATCATGGCTTTCACGATTATCCATGACCATCCCCAATATAACTTTCTTATTTTATCTCACACTAATATTTCTGAAGTAACCTGTATTCCACTCATCTTGACTTTACTTTTCCCTAGCATGTTTGAATTTTGTCTTCTCCATGTTTTGGCACTCATATTACTCCTTTTGCCTTCAATGCTCTTATCCCCAATCTTTGTATAAAAAAAATATATAAAAAAATTTAAAAATTCTATTCATTCTACAACTATCTCCAAATTTGCCCCTTCTACTACAATTCTTTGTACTTTCCTTAAAGCACTGATAACTCTTTATCATACTAGTTTTACTCATATCTTATCTCCCATACTGAACTGTAAACTACCTACAATAGAGTTAGTTGGGACATACAAAATAATACATTTAATAAACCAAGATATTAAGCTTCTTGATACTTACCACCACGTTTTTAATAATGGGCTCCGTAATGCTGGGTGAACCAAACTGAATTTCTGCAGGGATATTCCCATAAAACCCAGGGAACATCCTAGTACTATAAGGGATGCATTGAATCGATGTTCTGTGCACTTAGCCACAAAGATTCAAGTAAGAGGACAGAGAGAGTGAGAGATAGATTACAAAAAGCTTCCTGATATTAGCAGTTACCATTCGCAGACACTGCCATTGTAATGTACCTTCAGCTCTAAGGGATATCAATTAAGGCAGTAAGTCATCACCAATATCCTTTCCCATTGATAACATAGGAGGAGGTAGCACAACTTCCCAAATCTTTTTTTCCATGCCTTTTGCACAAGCGGTCATGCTAGAGGAGTACTGGGCAGCTGGTGAAAACTAAAGAGGGTTACCACCCAAGAAGAAAAAGACTAATAAAACTTCACCTGCTTCTCTGTCAGTCCCATTTAGCCTGGAGCATATTGCTAGACTCAGAAATGGGGTCCAATATACTTTGGGAATATCCACTCAAAGAAGATTCTAGACTCAAGGATCAGTTTCAAGATTTCCTCCAAGTTGACTAAGGGTTATTCCAGGAATCTGTACTGTTCTAATTTCCTTAATGATTTCAACCTCAGAGAAGAAATGACAAGGTCAGTACTGTATTACATAAAATACCATGGGATGCTGGAACACTGAAAATCTGACCAAAGTCATTTCTTTCCCTTTTATATTTCCCTTCTGGCAAAAATGAATCCAAACATTGTATGAGTAGGTTTCTATGGCATCCTTGGCCTGAGTCAGAAGCCACAGAACTTCATCTAAAATAATTCAAGTAGTGAAGTAAAAATGTGTAACATGCTGTATCAGAATAATCATAAATTCTTTATTTTACACTGAGGCTAGAAGCTAAGTAGATTTGCAGCCATCAAAATGTCTCTCTTAATTCAGTGATACTGGGGAAAACATAAAAATGAGGAAAAAGTGGAAAAAAGTATTAATGTTTCAGGCTGTGAAATTTTTGTATCTGTAATCTGAAAATACATCTAAATAATGCATTAAATCATTATCAAATTGTTTTTTGCTGCATAACACATTTTTCATCTTGAAGATATGCAAAATCTTTGCTTTATGAATAATAAATATGTATCAAAACTCTATCAATATATAATTTGTAAGCTTTCCAAAAAGAAGTCTAGTACAAGTTCAATGAAATATATTAGGAGCTCACCATTTCTTTTAATTACACGAGTCTGCTGTTTCACTTCATCATTTGCAACACCAAAAATTCCTATACTCACTGATGTGTCAGCTTTGTTAGATGATGAAAGATTACTGGGAGGCAACTGGATTCCACTGATGAGCTGTGCAAAAATATTTAAATACAAGAATTTCACAGAATATCAAACTCCATCACCACTTAATTTAAAAATAAATATGTATTCAAAAAATGATAGATTATAAGTCAGTTTCCCTAAAAAATTTGAAAGTGGAAAATGCAAAACTTAAATTTTAACTCTTTTATCCTCAAGATTCAATAGATGAATACCAGGGACATGTCTAAATTATTCCATTTTACTGATATGTGTTTATAATAGAAACCATATTGTCCAAAGTTAATGGTTCAACGTGTGTTTTTATTTTACAAGTATTTGTTATGATTGTTAAAAAGTATTGTTTAAAGGCATTGTTATGATTACCTTATACTGTAACTCAGGCTGAGCTACTCTGGTACCATGAACTAGTTTCAAATTCATATTGTATATATACAGCAAAAAAATAAGAAACAATATGAAAACTACTTCTGAAATGTAAGAGAAGGAATCACATAATTTCCTAGATAGCATTTGCTAGTATAATTTATACATTTAGATAATTTATCACAAAATTTTACAGTATCCATTATTACCTATATTATCACAAGTAACCTGAGTCTCACAAAATCAATTATTACATATGCATATTAGGTACTGGGTATCAGAAAAGTGCTCAACTAAGTAATTAATGATAATTTTACTTAGCCTTTTATTAGTCAAGCTAATTGTTGAAACAAAGGTTTGTTTTTATTTTAAAGAAAAAAGTTTGAACAAAAATCAATATTTGAAGTGTACTAATTTATAAAATGTACTAACATAAAACTTGAGGCATGATTTCAAGCTCTGAAGATTGTACCAAAGAGGAACAAATAAAAAATTAAGTTTGAAAAGAAAAAGAATGAAAAGGAAAAAAACCAAGAATGTATCAATATGTAATGTTTTCCTTTTCTACATCCACACATTACTGCATTAGCTAGAATCCAGAATGACTGTGCAAATATTTAACAACCAGTATGAAATGGGCATTGATCAATCAGTGAAATTAGACATTAGGGTAATTAGAAAGAACATTGGTCATAAATAACTAGTACACCAATACCAGACCCCACCAGATGAATGTCAGCTCCTCAGGTAATAGACCTTTACCAATATGGAAAGGTTCTCCTTTAGTGCACCTCATGACAAAAAAGAAAAAAGTCTAACTAAATAAATAATAATAATTAAATGTGAGAACTGAAGAATAATTTAGAGATTATTCTTCAAATAATTTGTACACTCTGATTCCCAAAACCCTCCAAGGAACAACTGCAGAGGATGGATGTCAAACAGAAAACCTTCGGTTGTTAACTAGAGTAGCTCTATTTCATCTGTTGGCCTTATGCATGAGATTTGGAGCTTAAAAAATGGTTTCATAGTTTTTATAAGCTTGAAAATAGCTGACATAATTCAAAACTCTTAGTTTGCAGGTGACAAGGAATAAACCAAAAATGTTGAATGGCATCATCAAGGGCATAAGAAAGCTATAAAACCAGGTCTTTTGAATCCCAAATCATGCCCTCCACAATTTGTGCAAATCATAATACAATCACAAAGCTCCCTAGTATGATCAAAGCAAGAGGGAAAGACGCACATGGCTACAGTAGCAACTTTCTGGGAAAATCATTAACCTGGTCTATTTTACACCATGCCACTGATACCCCTACATGAGACCCCCCCCCCCCGCATAATACAAACAGATGGCATTTGTAAACATCTGTGCATACTAGCTATCTTCCATCTTCACTTTCTCAATTAAAGAGCATGTATGTTCTCTTTAATATTCTCAACTTGAAAAAGAAACCATCCATTCAATTAACCAACATCTATTGAGCATACACTTTGTGTCAGGACCTGTGGATAAGGATCAAACAAAACATAGTCCTTATCCTTAAAAGATCCTCAGACAAATAGGGAGAATGACAAGAATTACAAGTAAATAAACAATTATGATACAATGTGGTAAGTACCATAATATACACATGCATAAAGTGTTATTGAAAAACAGAAGAAAACTATACAACAAAGCACAATTAAGCATAGTAATAAGCTTCCAACAAGAAATGGCTCTTAAATCTTGAAAAATCAGTCAGGACAAAATAGGCAGTGAAAGATGGAAGAATAGTCCAATCAACGAAAACAGCATATGCAATACATGGAGGTATCATCATGGACAGAAAAGGCTTCCCTCTGATTACAGACTAAGGTGAAAGACTGGAAGTGGTGAAAGATGGGGCTAGAGAAGTAAGCCAAGGCCTGACTAAGAAAGCAATCAGGTGACACAGTAAATATTAAGAAGGTGTAAGTTTAGAATTGTAGCAAAAGCTCTCTGGTAAATTTTGAAAGATGAATCAGGAAGATTGAGACAGGTTACCTGAAAATCCCTTAGAAAGCCAAAGGATTAGATGTGATGACAGGTAAGAAACTCCTCAAAAAGGACTGCAACAAAAGACATCAAACCAAGGGAATGGATAAGGAAGACATGCAGGAGGAGGATCCACAGAAGTTGGAGATGGACTGGATTTGGGACGTGAAGGACATGGGGAAGAGAAGAATGGCTCCCAGTTTTCTATCCTGAGTTGAGTCAATGATTTCGTCTCAATTCATTGAGATTTAAATAAAACAGAAGTATATTTGACTAGAAAGGGACATTCAGGATTTAATATTTTTAGTTTGGTGGAACAGTAATTAAATAGGTAGGGATGCTAAGTAGGCTATTCAAAATGTGCTTCTATACTCCCAAAATGAGGCCAGATTAAAGTTTTGAGTATTATTGGTGGTTGAAACTATGAATATGTATAAAAGGACACAAGGAGAATATTAAGTTCTAAATAAGGATTAAGAAAAAGTCTTAGGCAACATACTCGTAAATATTTTAGCAAAGGTAGAGAAAGATGAACCCAACAAATGAAAGTAAGACTTGCAACCCTAACCTTGTCCCTAACCCTAACCCTACCGTATCCCTAACCTTAACCCTAAACCTAACCCTAACTTAATCATAACCATAACCCCATTCCTAACCCTAACCCTAACCCTAACCCTATCTCTAACCTTTTCCCAAACCCTAGCCCTGTCCCTAACCCTTACCCTAATCCTAACTCTGTCCCTAACCCTAACCTGAACCCTGTCCCTAACCCTAACCCTGACCATAACCCTGTCTCTAACCCTAATTCTAACCCTCTCTCTAACCCTAACCCTAACACTAGCCCAGACCCTGTCCCTAACTCTAACCCTAACCCTGTCTTTAACACTAACCCTAACCCTAATCCTGTCCCTAACCCTAAGCCAAAAAAATAAATAAAAATAAAAAAAGAAAGTAAGAATTGTTTAGGAGGTAGAGGGGAAAAGGAGAAAGAAAAGCCCAGAAGCATAGCAAGGAGATTTGTATGGAGTAGGAAGGGATCTTAAAAGGTGGCTGATTCCTCTCTTCCTCTCACTAGAACAACTAGACTAGTTTTTAATTGATTGGGGCTGTACCCATTTCTGTAGACAATTTCTACATATTCACTATATGCTCCTATTTTAGAGTAAAAAAAATGCTTAATAACCAGGAAAAGCATCAGCTACGTACCTCGCTGGCACTACTTCCTACAGTGGCCAGAATCATTTTTGTCCCATTCATCTTTGCAGTACTCTCTTCCTGCATTAACCTCTGGAAAGTAGCTCTTAAACTTCCTCCCATTTTCAGCTGGAAACAAATGTCTAGGTCCTGAAGTGGATGAAAGTGGTCCCCCAAATCCACTGTGGCTTTTAAGACAGTAGAGGAAGGAGCAAAGATGGGATGGGTTGTGGGAGAAGTGCAGTCTGGAGGTTCTAGCGTTTCCTGCCCTCTGAGAGCCAGGCGACAGGAGCAGGGGGCTCTCTCATCAACCAGCACAGCCAGCAGAGCTACACTCAGTCATAACGGGAGACACAATGAGACTCACCAGGAATACCAATAAAAGTACCAAAATTTCAGAATAGAATCTGAGATGGTTCATGTGATTCTAGAAGCAACTAGTTAAATACAGAGAGATCCAAAAAGAACAAACTCACCCCATTTATTTGCAAACAACAGGTGCAGATACAATCTAAAATAGAATTGTTTATAATTAAGTAAAGAGAAAAAGCTAGGGATTTTCCAAAGATTCGGTGACATTAAAAAAAAAGGAAACAAAAATGGCACTTAGGTTATAGAAGAATAAGAAAGCTTTTGAAATGTATTTATGGGACACAATACATTTTAGACAACTACTTTTGCTATGAAATTATACAGGGCACGGATATAATAAAACAAAAGAGAGATGGAATAATAAGATAGTAGTTGGGGGAGGGGAAGGGACGAGACAATACAAATTGGTAACTACAATATGGCCTCAGGGATAGAAAAGACAGTCTGGGGAATATAATCAATAATGTTGTAAAGATTTTTTAGGGGGCCAGTTGGACTCATGCCTTGTTAAGGAGACCACTGCATAGACAGTATAGAGGCCTGACCACCGCACTGTATTTCTGAAGCTGATGTTGAATAATATTGTATGTCAACTACAATTATATATACATATAGTCACGGGATGTGGAGTAGAGTGTGGGAATAGAGTCAATGGAATTGTAATAGCTAAGTATGACATGGGGGTTGGGATGGCAGTGGATGGGGGGAGGGGAGTTGTTACTTTGTGAGGGTGAAAAGGATAACTATTGCATTGCTCTGTACACCTGAAACTAATAATAAAAAAATAAATAAAAATAAAATAAATTGTGATTGGAATTTAAAAAAAGATAGTAGTTGGGGGAAGGGTGCTGGTAGAGATAAAAAGGAAGCTATATGAGGCAAATAAAAATTTGGGGAGGAACTAATGACGCAGGTGAAAAATTCACATCTACATTAGAAGCAGTAGAGAACAAAATCAAATACAGAGGGAAATGGAACGCAGAGGATACAGGAAAGTGATAGAGTTGACAGAAATTAATAAACATGAAGGAAGACACTCAAGGAAAGCATATGAATACTTTTGGTTTCTAAGTATTCAAGGGATATTCAGAGACATAAGGAGAAAAAATCCTGAACTACAAAAGTCTAGTTCTGGAGACTAATGAAAATCAAATAGCTCCTAGAATTTCCCAGTAAAATTCCTTAAAGAAAGAAAAAAGCAGTATATCCACAACGTAATTGGTGGGCTGAACTCAGACTCCTCTATCACAACATTAAATGCCTAAGGACAATGGGATTATAAAATGAAAACTTTGGAGAGAAGGTTTTAGCCTCAATATTTCTATTCACGGGCTGGTAACCATTCATTCAAAGATAACAGAAAGATATTTTTCAAATATGGAAGGATGTTAAAATACCACTCACCTATAATACCCACAAAGATCAGCATAAACTTAAAAGGCATTAAAGGAAATCAATAAAATTCAAAATATTAATGTGTACTATCTAGCTTTTATAATAACCTAAACAGAAAAAAAAGTCATTCATCTTACCCTTATCGTAAGTGTAACTGGATTATTGTTTTCTAGTACTCCATTTGGATTAAACTTTGTTTCAATATCTCTTAGAAATCGTGGTTTCAAAATATATCCAGAACTGCCATTATCCAAAAATTTCCCGTTTTGAAGGTCCATCGGCAGACCAGGGGTCTGGAAATTTAAGGCCACTGTGAGAAAAAAGTATTTTGATATTGTCAGGAAAATAGAGGGTATGGCTAAAGAAACACAGTTAGTAGATTTACTAAAGCCTAATCATGGATTACATATCTTCAAACATTTTAAGAGCAAGCCCCATTAGCCAATAACTCATGTTTTAATAAGCATTTCCTCCTGGCATGTCTATATGAAGGTGAGTTTCAAAATTTAATCTGTCTATTTTATAGAGTTGAGTCAAAATGGTGCACAGTAGACATCATACAATAGCATTGTACATATCAGATAACACCCAGGAAATATGAGAATAAAGAAAATCAGTACATTAAATGCTGGAAGGGAAGACCATCCAGATCATGAATTTTCAGGTCCAAAATCACTTGAGGACAAAATGAGAAAGAGGCAGAGCAATAATGATGTTCAAATGTAGAAATACCTCTATATAAGCTGGTGAATAGCCACTGTGTGCAGTACCACCCTCCCAGCACCCCGCCACCACCATCCTGGCCCTGCTCTCCCCACCCCGCAAACCTACAGGCCCTGCCACAATCCAGTAGCAGATGGATTAACACGTGGCACTTCCTGACTGGTTAACACCAGTGCTTTATGCCAGGTACAGTCTGGTAAGGACAAATAACAAAGCTATATGATCTCTTTCATCTTTCAACTATAAATGCAGAAATTGGCATAAAGTACAAAAGGTAAAGAGGTCACTTAATTTGAAGAGGCCCTTAGCAAAATTTTCAGACAGAGGACTTGATCTTCACTCTCCTCTTACATCTATTTGGGTTTCCTTTTTCCTTTCCTACACTTCCCATGCTAACTGTTCATGAATTTAACTTCCATGCCCCCAGCTCTCATCTATTGTAGATTTACCCTCCACAGCACCGTTAGGAATAACTTCAATTCTTGAAAATAATAATTCATTATTATTGCCTGACTGCAAAACACTCAGGACTCAGAGCCAAAAAAAAAAATCTTCATAATAAGCTCTTTTCAAGAAACTTTCATTAATTTACAAAATTCATGTTATCTTATTTCTGCAAAAAGCTAAATATCCTACATAACATACCCATTTGACAACCTACATTCCAAAATTCTTGAGGATTAAAATTAGAAGAGTTTGCTCTTATTGCTCTAGGATATATTCTGGTAATGAACTTCGTGGTGTGAAGAATAAATTCATGGGCTAAAAAAAAAAGTTAATAAAACATTATGAAAGATTTCAAATAAATTAAATAAACTATACACACACACACACACACAGAGTCTATTTGAGTATCTATATACAGAGGGTGCCAAAAAAATGTATAACATTTTAAGAAAGGAAAAAATTGTATTAAATTGTAATACTCAATATATACGTATAACAAAAGATGAATACCAGTCATGTGTATACATTTTTTTGGCACCCTGGTATATTGTTTGTTTCTACTTATGTATTCTTTATAAGCTTCTATTGTCATATATTTTATTTAAATTACTTAAGATGCAAAACTAGTTTATACCCCTTTATCACTGAACACTCCTTCAAATTTTTGAACACAAATTTTATGTTTCTCCAAGGTTTGTACTCTTTCACTAGGCAGATCCTGTTCTCCCAACCATTCCTGCTAATATGGCAACCAGTCGCAGGAGAAATGATGAATGCCTATGGCCCACTATATTTGCTAGTCAAACTAGAACAAAATCATTGCCACTCTCATCTTGAATACCATTCTTTAGGAAGCATTATCAAGTAAAAAATTAGTTACTGCAGTTAACATTAATTACAGTTAACTTCATCAGCACTCATTTTTGGAAGTTATACACTCCTTAAAAGTGTATTTTAAAGCTACTCACGTATAAACAAAAACAATGTTTATCTTAGTATCATGATCCCTTATTCAATCCTCAACTAGATGTTTTTATCTTTTGGTAAAACATGCACTCTTCTGGGTCTTAGTTTTTCTCACCTTTAAAATGGTAAACATGAATGGTCACTAAGGACCCATAACATAATATGATTTTGTTACTTCTGAGATTAATCTATAGGAATTAAACATGCTATGTTATTACAAATGCAATTCATGTTCATTTTAGATAAATGAGAAAATCAAATTTAAAAAATAAGAAATAAAACCACATATAGTCTCTTCACTCAATTAATAACCACTGATAACCTCTTGGTATATAACTTTCCATTTTTATATTTTATATATATATAGATATATATATACTTATTTTTAATTGAATCATATTGCTTTTATAAACTTCCACATTTTTACTTACTAAAATAACATGAAAATCATTCCACTTCAATAATATTCACTAACCACATTATTTTTAATGACTGAAAAATATTTATATGTATGAAAAGTACTGTTTCTGATTTTTCATTATAATAAACTTAATATTTATGTTTTTGATAATGATGAATACCTTTGCAATGCACCTTGGCCCACATCATTAATTATTTACCACTGACTTTGGGTCCAAGAAAAATGCTCTATATTCTTTCTAAAGAAATGGGGATGACACACTTTATAACTCTTCCCAGAATTACCAGGCCCTTTTCAGATTTTGAGCAACTGTTTAATATAGTGAGAGTGAGAGAATTATTACTACTTTGCTGTGCCCCAAAATCCTATCCCCATGAACAACAACAAAAAAAATCTTATAGTTTGAAAGGACAGGGACTAGTAAAAAAAAAAAAAGGTCATTCAAATTCAAACCCTGTTGATAAGACCTCACAGTAAGAAATATATTTTATATCATGACCCAACAGACAATACACACACTCAATTATAAATTATAAATACAACAATCCTTATTCTTACTACATAATACCCTCTTCTCTATTCTTTCATTCCATTCCACTCCATTCCATTCCACTCTATTATTTTAACTGTGGTCCAAATCTGCTGAATTGATTTTTGGTCATAATCTGCAGTTTAAAAAAGGCCTTAAAACATCCAGGGTCTTTCTATGAGGCAGTTTAAGGAGATTAGCTAACATATGCCTCAAAAACCTTGGGTACCTGTGGCCAGCCTAATGAGATTAACCAACAGATGTATCAGAATCCACATTTCCAAACAGCCAACAGCTTTTCTCAGGTCAATTACAGATGCTGATTTTCTTGCCATGGTGTTTCTACACAAGATGGTCAATTGCAATTTCTCAGAAGGATGTGGAGAGTCACCTGGCTGTTGACTTATTTATCCATCCCTTTTTTAAGTGGAGGGTATTCCCCGCCATTTAAGTCTGAGAGAAGGCAGGGTCTACTTCCCAATCTCCTTCCCAGGCTTTGTTGCATCTTGGGCTCTACCAAACAGTAACTCACCTCAGATTTAGAATCAGCAGACAGGTAAAGGAAGATGCAGAGACACATGTACCTCTATAGGTGTGCAGTGGCAGTATGCACTGCACAGTTATCCTGCAGTCTGGCCTGGGTACCATTTCCTCCCTTTCCTTCCTCACCTTAGACATACAGCCTCCAGGTCTATTTCACTCTTTCTCTTAGATACCTGCAGAGTCCACAGTATTCACCCTGCTTCTCTCTCACTCCCATAAGCTTTCATCATGTCTTCCCTACAGGCAATCTCCCCCTTATAATAGTGATATCAGAAGCATCTTTCAGAAATACACAGGGGATCACGTTAACTCCTGAGATTTCACTCTTCTCCTGCTAACCTTGGATTTCAGGACAAAGTTCAGATTACTTGCAATTTGGCTCTGCCTTCCTCTGCAGCCTGGTCACTCTCTGCTCTCCCCTATCAACTACTTGCCACAGGCCCACCTACCAAAGGGTCCACACTACCCATTCTCAATCAAAATTTCATGACTTAAATAAGTTGATTATTGGTTAAGTTCTGTGAAAGAAAATTTAATGTGGCCTGAGGCATTTAACTCTTCTGTTTAATTATATTAAATATCCTGAAATTTTATGACAATGTACTATTTATATTGTTGACTAATCTTAACACCTTAGCAGTGAATATAATTTGTTTAAACACTTCATCTGTTTGAATCGTAAGAATTTACCTTTCAACTTTGAAAGTTTTCGAGCTTTTGACTCCTCAATAGAATTAGTTTCATTAAATTGTTGATAGAGTCTTGAATAGCGAAAGCTTCTGAACTTTTCAGCTTTAGTATAAATGACGAGATCAGATAAGGCCAGAGCCACTTTTACCTTCATAGTGTAAGAATAAAATGCAGTGATTTCGCATTTTTGCACTAATCATTTGAAAAATTCCTTTTCCAACAAAGAAAATATGCTTTCACATCAATAATTTTAGCCTCCTCAAAAACTATCCAGATTGGGTCAATGTGATTATCTTTCATGATGATAATATTTAATCATCATAAAAAGTATTTAATATGAAACAGCACAAACCTAAAAATCCTAATTAATGTCACAAGTGTTGAGGATGACAATTAATATTTCCTTTTTCCCAAAGACCTCAGTTTGTTCTTATGAATTTTACCAATTTAGGAATTTTAATCATTAGTAAGTCATATTTCCAGTATGATCTAACATTTTGGAGTAAATTCTATTGTATAGTGTACATTGGCTCTTTTACAGCCCAGGATCTATATCCTTTACACTTCTGTTATCTCCTTCCCAAGTTTTGTTTTAAGAAAAACATTTCTTGCTCATACTCAATTTATGTGCTTAACTATAGATAATGCAGATCAGGCCTGGCCAATGGAAGTTTTCATCTCCTAACAGTAGATTGGTTCAGGTATGTGTATATAACAGGGTTCCAGCCAAAGAGCAAGAAGAATTTGCTCAGTCATTTGAAAGATAGCTAGGCATTCCATTCGAGTTGAACCTAAAGGCATATAAAGCTAAAGCTTTGCAAAGTCTTGCACCAATATTGGGAAAGTGAGGCTAAAGTTGGAGAAAGAAATAAAGTTCTGTGGACTTCGCTTGAGATGCTATACCAAGTCATTCCTGAAATTAGAATCCCTTTCCCTAAGTTTTCATTTATGTGCGCCAATTAATTAAGCAGGCAAAAAAATTAATTAATTTTACTTAAACCACATGAATTAGTTTTGTGTCACTTACAAACTGATATACCTCTTACATCATGCTAATTTGTATCCTTATAATACTATGTATTGGGTTGTCAGAAAAGTCATGACGTATTTTTTCTGTTTTTTGTTGCGAAAATACGTCATGACTTTTCCGACAACCCAATATTATAAACAGTGATTTTCTTGTCTCTGACAGTATGACCTCCTTGACAGCAGAGACATTATGTTGTTTATCTCTCTCTCTTTTGTACACTGCACAATGCATAATACATAAAAACATACCATATTTGTCAACTATAGAGAAAAAGCTACTAACAACTAGCACAGGAAAAGAGATAACTTTTAAAAATTATTTTCCACTGCTAATTTCCCCCCCCCAAAAAAATTAAAATGATAGACTAGAGCTTCTATAGGGAGGAAAAAGATTTTTCCCTCCAAAAAATTTTTCTTAATTCTCCACCAATAAGAAAACAAGACAACTTTTCAAACATGTGTAAGATGTTCCCAAAGCATCATCTCACCTTGTGTTTCCTGAAAAGTGGTAATGAAACTCTACTTCTTGACTCTAGTTCCTTTTCTGGGTTGTCTTTTAAAATAACTGGAGTTTCTGATTCTTTGACTCTGTCCTCTTCTTCATCTAGATCTGTGTCTTCGTATTCTTCATATTCCTGTACCTGACCATGCTTATCAGAATTTCTCCTTTCACGGGTCTCTGCTAAGGTTCCTATTTTCTTGTTTCTAACTAGTATTTTGAATTTTAATGCCTACAGAAACAATTTGAAAGAGAGATACAGTTACACAGTTACAGGTGAGTTTGCATTTGTAATAGTCATCTAAAAGTCTTTCACCATATTCTCACATATCTTACAGCAGAAGGATACGTAACAGTTCCATATTTTTCCATACCTCTATAAATACCCTAATATAGCCACCAGTGATATTATGGTATTGACCAAAATTCACCAAAAAATAAGACTGTTATGATTGGGACTTACTGTAGCTCCATTTCTTTTACATTCCACAAATTACTACTATTCAAATTATTTGTGTATGTATGTACACATACACACACACACACACACACACATACACATATGTTAAAATACTTCCAATGTTACAGAAGTTAGAATATTACAACTTCTGGTAGTAAATGCTTCAAGTCATCATTCTTTTATCCAATAATAAAAAGTATTAAAAGAGATCAGGTATTGGGGCCTACCAAGAGGCTCAGTTGGTTAACAGCGCGAGTTCTCAGCAACAGGGTCACCGGTTCGATTCCCACATGGGCCATGAGCTGTGCCCATGCTGAGCTGCTGCTAAGCTGGTGAGAGCCATGCTCTTAGCAGCAAGGTTGCCAGTTCGACTCCCACATGGGATGGTGGGCTGCACCCCCTCACACACACAACTATTGAGTTGCCAGAAAAGTCATGACACATTTTTGCAACGAAAAACATAGAAAAAATACATCATGGCTTTTCCGACAATCTAATAGATTGAAAGTGGTGACTGGACTTGGAGCTGAGCTGCGTCCTCCACAACTAAGATTGAAGGACAGCAACTTGACTTGGAGCTGATGGGTCCTGGAAAAACACAATGTTCCCCTTCCCCAATTCCCCAACACTGTTCCCCTCCCCAGTTCCCCAATAAAATATTTTTTTTAAAAGAGAGAGAGCAAGTATGTAAATATATCTATTGTAGTGTCTGGCATTTAGCATAGACTAAATTTAAAGATTTGTAAATGTTCTTCACATTTCAACTGTATTGCACACTGGCATCATCAGCTTAATATTTCCCATCCATCAAAACTAGGAGCATGGCATCAGAGCCACTCAATCTCAATCCAAAGCTTTCTGGTTCCCATCGTTTACTTAGTTATTCCTGCCCTTTTAAAATATTCATCAAATAACAAATATACTTATTAAGTGTCTGCCGTGCTGTATATAACGCTGCTGAAATCTGGACTATGAAGTAAAGTTCTTTTCTTCAAGGAGCTTTGATTATCCCTTCCCTTTGTCATCCTCAGGTACCCACTCAAATCACTCCATCCTTGTGAGCTTTCTCTCTTTTACCATGGCCCTTATATTACTAACACAGAGATTACCAAAGTGCTCCCTTGCAACTACACGTATCAAAAGCATCACCTGGGGTGCTTGTGAAAGGAACAGAGTCCTGGGATCTACTTCAAAATGAGAGAATAAGAAATCTTGAGTTGTGGGACTGGACTTATGCCTCTTTAATAAGTCTCCAGGCAATTCTTTTATACACTGAAGACTGAGTGCAGTATGAGAAAATGACTTTATCTCTAACTCCTCATTTACTCATTGGAAAGCATCTCCTTACTTTAGTATGGAAGCAAAAACTTTAATGAAAACTACAATCTAAATGTCAAAAAATAAATGTATAAATAATAGGAGCAGAGGTTCTATTCCTACAAAGCTAAAAATTATTGACTTACTAAATTAGACCATGATTCTTAGATTAAAGCTTTAACAATGTTTCCAGCACTTGGCACAAGTTGCTTAATGTTTATTTCCTGCCATAATGAAACACATTTACTCTGTGAGCATTCTTATGAGATGAAAGTTATTCCATACATTCAATTTATTTTGTCCATCTCAATTCTATCATGAGCTCTATATTTCTTGTTACTACTGTCAAAACACTTTCATCTTTAAATTTTTTACTCATTTAAATAAGGAAAAAAATACAAGGAAATATTCAAATATTATAAAAACACTGCTCTACACCAAAATGGTGATATGTCAGAAATAAACTACTAGTTGTTAGGCAATACTATCATGCAAAAAAGAAAAAATTCATTTATCACCTGATAAAATCTGGGGCCAGCAGAGGAAATTAAGAGTAGCCAGAGAGGAATAAGGAATGTCTAAAGAACGTGGTGTTACAGAAAAAAACATTTCAAGGACAGGAAAGAGGCATCCACAGTATTGAATGTTGTTGAGGAAACAAGTCAGATAAAGACTAAGATAGGTCCAATATGGAGTATAGTATAGGGAATAGAGTCAATGGAATTGTAATAGACATATACGACGGCAGGGAGGCAATAGATTGGGGGAGGGGTTATCACTTTGTGAGGGGTGAAATGTATAACTATTACATTGTTCTGTACACCTGAAACTAATTTAAAAAAAAAAAAAAGACTGAGATAGGGCCGATAGAATTTACCAGAAGGAAAGTCTTTGAGGACCACGAGATATTTACGGTGGTGCAGGTGAACTAGGAAGCCTGATTAGGTAGATTGTGAGGAGGTGAGGAAATGAAATTTTGTGTTGAGACAGGGAACATTAAAGAGATAGCTGGAGAGCAAATTGAAATCCTGAGGGTAGGGTGCTTTTTTAAACCAAATAGTTGAGTATTCTCTACTGAAGATGGAAATAGGCCCATAGAGTCAGGGAAATTGAAAAGAGCAGATTAAAAAAATAGAAAAGAACAATACCTCAGATGCTGAGGTACTGGGCCTGGACTCTTTTTACTCCCTAGGTACTTGCCTCTTTCTTAGCTTTTTGCCTATATAACAGACCAAAATCCTTTGGCCTAGTATTAATTGACTTGAAATTTTGGACTTATGGGGTATCGCATGCATTAAAAATGTGGGCTTTTACATATATTGCTATATAGTCTCTTTTATCAAAATATATTCACCTAAATGCTCACAGAAACATTTCCTAAGCAACACATTGCAAAGATACACCTCTATAAATAAGCGAATCTAAGCATTTTTATTGATCTCTAACCCAGTTTCATAAGCCAATATAATAGTGACGTGGTTTTTTTTCTTTTGTTTTCAACCTGAGCTTCTCCAACAAAATGTTACCTCTGGTGAAGGCAGTTTTTCTGGAAAATCATCAAGCATATCAGAAAGCAAGGCATCTCCCAAAATTAGCTGCAAATTGTCTGCCATCACTTCTTGTTGGTGAGGAGAGCAATGATTCTCTAAGGAGAGCACCACTGGGTAGTCAGACGTCTAAAAAATGAGCCATTACTGCAGTTATTTATCAAAACTCCTCGATAGCTTTAATACAATTAATAGAAGCATTTAATCTATTTTAAAACTTACTTCTAATGTTCAATATCTTTGCAAAAATAATTAAAGTCTTTAAACTGAAAGTATTTTTGAGCTTGACAAAAACGGAGAACACTAAATCTACATAAAAAGGAAAATGACTACTACCTGCACTAGAATTACAGGAAATAAATGAAGCATCCAATAGTGATTACTTGTTTAAATAAATTATGGCATACCCATTTAAAGGAATGATATAGATCTGTTAAGAAGGAAGTGCAGCTATATATACTGCTACAGAAATTTGTGTAAAATATAGGCTTTTGAACTAAAGTAAGTTGCCAAAGAGTAAGATTCTACAGTTTTATTTTGTTTTTCAAAGTATATGTGTTTGTGTGTGTGTGTGTGTGTGTGTGTGTGTGTGTGTATTTGGATATTTTAAAATGTAAAGGAAAAACTTTAACACTGATAAGTTAGGGGAAATGTTAATTTTCTACTATTTCAGTTTTAAATTCTAAAATCAAAACTCATTGCTTTATAAATAAAAACAAAGATATTTCCAGTTCTTAATAATAAAGAAGCTATATTAAATAAAGGTGACTCTACAAAGATATTTTCTGCCCTTTCTCACAACTGTGAACTTGAAATATGCCACAAAATTTTTGGATCTTATTCAAAATAATTTTCTTTATTTTGTTTCCATATATGATGATCAGGGCACAAATTTACCAACTTATTAACAAGCCAAGGCATTGCAGGGCTGCTGCATTATCCCAGACCTTTGAATAGGAGGTAATAATAATATACCTTTTTAATGTTTGAGTATCTTAGTTTTTGTGGCTGCTGTAACAAATTACCACAAACTTGGTTGCTTGAAACAACAGAAATTTCTCTCACAATTCTGGATGTCAGAATAGTATAATCAGTTTCACCGGCTAAAATATTAGTTCAAAGTATCAACAGGCTCTAGGGGAGGTCTGTTCCTTGCCTCATCCAGCCTCTGGTGGTTGCCGACACTTCTTGGCTTACAGCCATATCCAGTCTCTGCATTTCATCTTCAAGTTGCCTCCTCTGTGTATGCTAAATCTCCTCTACTCCCTCTTATAAAAATACTTACGATGGCATTTAGGGCCCACCCAGATAATCTAGGATAACCTCTCCTCTCAAATTCCTAACTTCATCACATCAGCAAAGGCCCCTTTTCCAAATAGAGTGATATTTACAGGTTCCAGGAATTAGAACCTAATATCTTCGGGGGCCCTACCACATACATATATATTGACTCAGTCTAATATCAAGAGAACATGTAAAATCCTCCCCCCCCAAAAAAAAAAAAGACGATTTTTGAGACGAGACAAAGTGACAGTTTAGTAGATGCATTCCACGATTAGGCCCTGACTTCACTCACTGGGTAAAGCTCATTTTTGGGCCTCTGTGGTTGTCCTCGGCTCCACCCTTTCAGAAGGTTCTCTTGTGTTTCATCCTCTTTGGCCACATCTAAAGTAGGTGTTGAGGCGTTTGCTTTCCTCAAAGCCAAGCAACTTTTGCAGCTCACTTTCTGACCAAGGGTTATTTTAAGGCTTACCTCAAGTAGGACTTGTGTTTTGTTGTGTTTTATTTTCTTTAATTCCCTTAAAACCTTAGATTTCTTCTCTGTTTGCTTCTAGTAAGTTACATGTGCCAATAACTATAATCAAAGCTCTTTCCTATTCATAGTTACCAAGTTCATTTTATTTATTGCTCTATTTTCTCCAAATTAACAGTGACTATCTTGAGTAGAAAGCTCAATCTTCAATGTAATCTTTGCTGCCAAAATGAGTTACCCTGTTCACCTGAGAAGGCTCATTGAGTCTCTGTTGATCAAAGCCTTTTTTCCATTCTATCTCTTTCTCATTGGAATCTTAGAAGCCACAGGGGTTTCCATCTTTTCAAGGCCTTTGAATTTTAAGACTGTCTCTATTTCCTTTTATTCCCTTGGTTACCCATCCTGGAGAAAGTGAGAAAGTTTGATATGCAAATACTTGGGAAGAGTATTTCAGATTAAGGGTTAATATTACAAATGCAAAGCCTTTGAGATGTGTCTGAAAAAGGGTGAGGAAGCCAGAATGGACAAGTGAACAAGGGAGAAAGGAGCAGAAGAGCTCAGAGAGGGAACAGAAACTGGTGATGTAGGGCCTGGGGAGTCACGGGATGGATTTTAGCTTGTATTTTGAGTGGGACTGTAAGTTTTGAGAAGGGGAATGACACGATTTGACTTACCAAAAAGTCATTCTGGCTGATACATTAAGATGAAACTGCAAGGGAGGAGGAAAAGAAGCAGGAACACTGGATAAGGGCCATTGCAATAATCCATCTGAGAGGTGACAGTGGTTGACCAGGACAGTGAGAATGAGAATAAGAAGGTATTAAAGTCGGGATATAGCTATTGTGAAAGTAGAGCAAAGAGGATTTGCTGAAGAACTTACTGAGAGGCTGGAAAGGAGGAGGGGAGGGTTAAAGTGGACAACAAGGATTTAAGCTTGAACACACAGAAGTTACCATTCAGAGAGACTGGGAAGACCATGGGAACAGCCTGACTGGCAGAAAGAGGAATATCTGGACTTCAATTCTAAACATGTTATGTCAAATATGCCTATTACATATGCAAATAGTGTCAAATGGATAGTTGTCTCTATTGGCATAAAGTTCAGGGGGAAAATTTGGAAAGTTTGGGTAAAGATATAAATTTAGAAATCATTAGAAATTAGATATTTAACAGAATCAATGCCACACATCAGTGTTTTATATTAAGATAGAAATTTTTCATATTTTCTTTTTTGTGAGTATTTTGTATTTTATACTCTTCCCAGTAAATAATAGAGCAATTGATTTAAATTTGTGATTTTATCTTTTGTTTATATTTACAGATAACGTATTGACCTATTGATGAGATTTTTAGGTTTATCAAATGTGTAAGTTTAATTTATTAGATATACATTAAGTATTCAGTAAGATTTTGTTAAATCTCTTCCATTGCATTACAATTGAAGTACTTAAGAAATAAATCAAATAAACAAAGTTTACAAAACAATTTAAAATATCTGAAAGTGTTTAACTAGCCAAGTTTATAAATAGAGCCAAGTATTATTCAAAATTGAGTAACTGTTCAAACCTGCTCAATTTATAGACTACGGTTTGTAATCTGAATTTAGAAGTTCTAGAAAGAACTATTCTTTAAATCTGTAACTTTAATAAATTGAATAATTTTAAAATCCAAAATAAACTTCTAAACATTCTTTGTTATATAAATAGCTGCCACCATAGTCATAAAACATGTCAATAATTGAGATAATATATTTTGTCATATTTTAGTTTCATGTCTTGAAACTAAAATATAATAGTTGAATACTGGTAAAACATTTACTATTATATACAACAGTACTTCTCAAACATTTCTGGTCATAATTCACAGTAAGAAACACATTTTACATTGTGACACACACACATTTCTCATTTATATATGTATGTGTGTGTGTATAAATACATATATATATATGTATGTATTTAAACAAGTTCCATGAAACAACATGCACCTTACTATTTGAGATTAACTTTGATAAATCTACCATTAACTATATACTACATGAATTTCACTACCTACAATGGATCATAACCCACAGTTTGGAATATCACTGATCTAAACTAAAGCTAAGCATTATACAATTCTGAGACCAGTAAATTATATTGTTTAAATATTTATAAATTAACAAAGATACGCACGTACTATGAATGCATATTTGTGTATTGCTTGGATAACAGTTTTAAATAGAAGCTTGCTCGTGAGTGTATAACCATGGTATACAACAGGTTCATTTTGTGATCCATCCCAGCAATCAATTTCCAGACAACGGCATCCTTTCATAAGAGCACTAGCAAAATTTAAACAAAATAAATTGTCATTCCTGGATCATTCAACATGTATACCATAGTGTCAAAATAGTCCAAAGACTACTTGTAATTTTGTAAAAATTGCAAAAATGAATCCATAATAAAGACAAGTTGTTGTTAAACTGAACACAAGACTCTTCTTCCTATTTTCTGTGAGCATACACTGACATGGAACTAATACTTGGCAACCTCAGTTTCAAAACACCCCCAAGGGCTGGCTGAGTGGCTCAGTTGGTTAAGAGCTCGCTCAAGAGTTTGAGCTCTGAGCAACAGCGGTTCGAGTCATCCTGAGCTGAGCAGCCGCTGAGCTGCCAACAGGTGGCAGGATGGCTCAGCTGAAAAAAAAAAAAAAAAAAAACCACCCCCAAGATGATGCGACATGCAGGGCTGTGGATTCTGAATCCTGTGATTTCTACATATTACTTAGGCTTTAAATTCTATAAGGGCAGAAACTGAAATGTCAGTATCATCAAAAAATGTTTGATATACAGTTCACTATCAATAAATATTTATTGTATTTATAATAGAAAAAATGGGAGCTATAGGGATATAAGAAGAAAAGTGGTAGGAGAAATGCAATCTTGGAAGAGAGAGAACTGAATGAAGAAAGGCTGACTTGAAACACCAGAATCTTCAAATTGACACTCATGTACCAGTAGAAAGTCAAAGAAGCCCCTGCCATACACGGAGATATTTTTTTCCCATAGAAAGCCAAGTTAATACTCGTTTACCAAGAATATTAAATTAGCCCTCTGTCTCTAGGCCAATGGTTCTCAGTCAGGACAATTTTGCCTCCTAGGAGACATGTGGCAATGTCTGGAGACATTTTTGGTTGCTATAACTGGGAATGGAGTGGAGGTTTACAACTGGCATCTAGTAGGTAGAGGTCAGGAATGCTTCTAAACATTCTACAATGCCCAGGACCAGCCCCTCACAACAAAGAATTATCTGACCTAAAATGTGAAGAATTTGAGAAACCCTTACCTGTGTCATAACAATTTGAAGAAAGGAGTGTGGCCCCAGCACCAAGTCTTGATATAGAATCAGTAACTCTTCAAACAGAAATACAGAGTACCAAATAGACCATATGACAAAATAGACTTTTTAGATCTAGTACTTCTTTGGGGATCATATTTAGTCAATTTTCTAAGTAGATAACTCAAGCAGTATTTAGGTAGGAGTGTAACTGTGAAAAGATAAAGCCCTGATGACACTGAAGTCAACGTGTTGAATTCAGGAAAAAAGGGAGCTTGTGTTCCTTTGGGAATAATGTAGATGAAAGATGAAAGGAACCTGAGGAGGTAGGACATTAAAAGGAAAGGGAATTGGTAAAGTTCATGTATCTTGAAGGCTTCACCAAAACAATACAAAATATAAAGTTAAATGATTAATACATTTTTGGAAGTTTTTAGGGGGTTGTTTGTTTTCTAAGTGCACACTACTTTATTTGGGCATGTGAAGATGCACTACAATGTAAAATTTCAGAGCTTTCTACTCCACTTGTCTTTGTGTTGGAGGAATGGACCTAGAACTGTCTTCTAGGGAAATCTTGTTTGATCCATTGATATTTCCATGGGCAGATAAGGTGGCCCCTAATTTTAGGTATAAGTCCTAAATTGGGCTATATGTGTAGACATCAAACTGAATATATTTCTCAGCTAGAGGATTTATTTATGTATTTAGATTTTAAATTGTTGAAGAAACAATATCTGTTAGTAAAGTTTATTAATTATATTGTTTACTTTACTCTTCTCTTAGTTAAATAGTCTTGCCCTTTATATCGCACAGAATATCAGTTCTCTGAAGTACTAACAGAGAATAATCTTGAACTCTCTGCTAGGAAAACAAAATCACCAAAAAATCAATTGTGAAAAAAAAACTTTTCATGAAGGACAACCTAAATAATACTGATTCTTGCTACTTCTCTAGATAGCTTTAATTTCATCCTTAGATCCAACCAACGTTTACCAAACTGCTTATTTTGACTACATGGTGTGGTCCCCAGCAAAAATGATTTGAGTCAATTGCTCTATATCATGCCAACCCCTTTTACTCAGAGGCATGTAAGGAAAAGTCATGTCTTCTCTAGTGGTATTAATGAGGCCACTTTCTATTATTTCACACCGAGTCCCCTTTTAGGGAATGAATGATGGAAATTTCTCTCACTCAGTAAAGAAATGCTCCACTTAAATAAGTTTAAGGGATTTTATATGGATTAAAATATTTAATGCTGTAGGAAAGTTAATATTAGTTTTCCTCTTTTGATGATAAGAAAATTGAGACAGAAAGAGGTTATATTTGTCACATAATTAACAATTGAGGGAAAGGCAAAAAGATCAGCACCAGAAATTTAAATATCAATAGATACACATTACCTCTCAGGAGTAAGAGAAATTTTGAAAGACTTGTATTCTAAGAGTGTATCTTCCACAACTGGGTAAAGAAATAGAGGAAGATATGCAATTAAATTTAAATTTAAATATTCAGTTGTGTGGAACATTTTCTTGGAATTCAAAAGTAATTGTCTGTATTTCTAAATCAACTTGTTTAAAATTTATATTTTCGGGCCGGCCGAGTGGCTCAGTTGGTTAAGAGCTCGCTCAAGAGTTTGAGCTCTGAGCAACAGCGGTTCGAGTCCAGCCCGAGCTGAGCAGCCGCTGAGCTGCCAACAGGTAGCAGGATGGCTCAGCTAAAAATAAATAAATAAATAAATAAAAATAAAATAAAATAAAATTTATATTTTCCCTTTTTAAAACAAAATAATAAAGTATGAACAAAAATGTCTATAATGAAAGTATAACTATAAATTGGGATGTCTTTATAAAACTCTAAGTGGATACATTTCAGAGTTTGTGGAATTATGTATTTATTTAGATTTTAAATTGGAGAAGCAATGTTTATTTGTAAATTTGATATGATCTTGGGATTATAAAATAGCTTTTCTATCTATGGTTTTCCCAAAGTAATATCATCCAATCACATAGCTTTCAATATCACCTATATGCTGATTACATCCAATTCTATTTTTCCAGTCTGGATATTTCTTCTAAATTCCAGGCACATATACCCAACTGACTATCTGATGTGGCCTTTTAATAATGACTTGTTATCTCAAGCTGAATGTCCAAACCATTGAACTCTTACTTTTCCTCACATCCTACAATGGCTTCCCCACAGGCTTCACCATCTCTTGACAATCTATCATCGTAATCTAGGTTATTAGGCCAAAATCTTGATAGTCTCTTTCCCTCAGACCTCTCTTCAAATTACCTAGCAAGTATTGTTCACTCTGCTTCCTTCAAATATTTCAAATTCAACCACTTATTTCAACTGCAGCCTCATGAATTCACCATCTAAATAACTGCTACAATATCTTCCCAAATCATATTCTACCTCTGCTCTTTGCACCATCAGTCTTTCCTTCACAGTAAAAAGTAAATTAAATTATGACATTATCCTAAGGACAACTCTTCCAATGGCTTCTCAATGCAACTGGAATAAAATCCATTCTTCCTACCATTATCCCTCTAAGGCCTTCCTATACTGACTCTGTCTACCTCCTCAAACTCACCTCCTTCATTCTGCATTTACTTGTTTCAAGCCACACTTGCAGTTTTACAATCGAACATGTCAATCCCTTATTACTACTACTACTTAGCATGACCTTCCCACCAAATTTTTCTGACACTTTCTCTTTATCGTCACTCAGACTACAACCATGTCACCTCTTAAGAACCATTTCCTGACCCTTTAACCAAAGTAACGCCCTCCAACCCACAGTTGCTTTCTATCATGTTACCCCAGTACATCTTCTCCAGATGACTGGCTCATCAGTCCCTGAAAACATCAATTTGTTCGCCTGCTTATTATCTGTTTATTCCTATGAACAGATGAGAGCAGCAGCTTTGAAAATCTTGCTTACCATGTATCCTCAGCTCACTGGCTAAACTGAAGCCTGGTATTGACAATATACGAGGTCCCATCATTCTTGCCACTTTTTGAAATAGTTCTAAAAATCTTCTTTCATGAGTGTCTTTAGTTGCACTGTTGTGGCTGCCTCGGTGTCCTGAATCGATTCAAAACGTCTTCCTTTCATGGTCATTTTGACTTTGGGGAAGAGCCAGAAATCTTATGGTGCCAGATCCAGTGAATAAGGTGGATGAGGACACACCATAATGCTTTTATTTGACAGAAACTGCCGTACCAGAAACGATGTGTGACACGGGGCACTGTCATGATGGAGGATAAGGTAAAGGTACTCACGAAAGAGGACTTCCAGAACTGCTTCAGAAAGTGGCAGGAACAATGGGATAAGTGTGTTCGAAGTAAGGGGGAGTATTTTGAGGAGGATTAATGGCAATGTGTCTTTTACTGTAATAAGTTTCTTTTATTTAAACATTCACCATATCTTTTGATCACACCTCGTAATACATTAGAATAAAAAATTAGAGGGACAGCACAGATTGTTTTTAATCTATGGAAATCATTTAACATATAAAACTATATTATTATCTATAAATGCCAAATTTACTCAGTTGATGTGTTGCCTTTACTCATAGCATTGTGTCCTGATGTCTGAGAATTACTTTTAACCATATTTTTCAAAATTTAGGATGTTCTGATTAGCTAAATATGCTGTCTCCTTCATATATTTCCTGTAAGAAGTATTAAAAGTATTCAGGAAATGGGCCGGCTGAGTGGCTCAGTTGGTTAAGAGCTCGCTCAAGAGTTTGAGCTCTGAACAACAGCGGTTCGAGTCAGCCCGAGCTGAGCAGCCGTGAGCTGCCAACAGGTGGCAGGATGGCTCAGCTAAAATAAATAAATAAATAAAATAAAATAAAAATAAAATAAAATAAAAAGTATTCAGGAAACTTCAGAGGGCCAATAATCAGCGAGAGGAGGTCAGCAGGCAGAATTAGAAGTGTATGATACAAATACACAGAATAAATTACATAGCTACCCAAAGGCTGAATCTCTAAGACGTGCACAATCAAATTTGTTCTTTCCTATGCATTTGCCTGACACATAGCCTGTTTTCACTGTGAATTAGTACCTATGGAGGTAGATACCACCAGAAACTTCCAAGTGTTATAAAATGTAAAGAATTTTAAAATCAAAATAAATACCTTACATATCCCCAGATGTCACTTGGTCCCACTAATTGGTCAGATATCAAGTATGTATTATGTGAACTTGAAATAAAATAATCACATAATGGATGAGTCATATCTTGGTAAACTTTATCATACTCATTATTAAATAGTAGACAGTCAGATGAACACATGTATCTTGTAAAACCTTCAATTGACATCTGGTGTGCTTGCTTAACTATAAAAGATAAGTGAAAAGGGTGCAGAAATATCATTAACCATGTAAAATTATATCTCACTTTAAAACTTATTCAGTACTAGAGCATGTTTCTTAAATATTCATTTAGAATTAATATTAATACTATTTCTAATTTGTCTTTGGAAACAATTTTTTCTCATCAATACCCTTAATTATTTTTTATCAACATTCAAGTAGAGAGCATGTTATTTAATTATTTCTGATTTTTTAATGGTTTAAAAATACATACAAGTATATATGTCATAGATCAATGGATTTCCACAAGCTAAACATCTAGGTAACCAGCACTCAGGTCAAAGGACAGATCATGACAGCATCCCTGAAGCCTACCTCTTGCTAACTGTCAGTCTCCCCTGCCCCCCCACACACCCAAGTGTATGCAACGGTCTACCTTCTAACAGCATAGATTAGTTTTCTCTGGGTTTTGTACTTTATAGGAATGAACTCATGCAGTATGTATTTTTGTGACTGGTTCACTTTGTTCAACATTGTTTCTAAGATTTATTCTTGCAGTTGCATATAGTTAGACATTGGTCATTTCCATATTGTATAATATCCCATTGAGTGAGTGCACCACAATTTATTTACCAATTCTACTCTTGAAAAGCATTTAGATAATTTCCAGTTTGGGATTATTACAAAGAGTGCTGCTGCTATAAACAACCTGTACCTGGTACAAATATGTACACATTTCTGTTGGGTGCATGCCTACAAATGGAATCGCTGGGTCATTTGCATATTATCATCTTTAGTAAGTTAACTTTGAACTTTACACAGTATAATATATACCAAAATTATCTACTTAAGAGGAATGCTGGCTCTGGAATCAGACACCTTGGATTAAATCCATTTACTGTTATATGATGAGCATGTTAGTTAACCTCTCCCTATGTTTGAAATGGTGATCATAATAGCACCTATTCTATATATTAGCTCTTTTTTAGTTGCTGTTGTTTCTGTTTTTAATAATTCAGTTTGTCTCAAGACTAGAGAGTGATCCTTGGAAAATAATTTTATTTCTGGGAATTTATACTATAGAAATAGAGACTCAAATAAAGATTAATGTGCAAGAATGCTTACACTAGCATTATTTATTAAAACTAAATAACAGGAGGAAACAAATTAAAGCTCAAAATATGATATAATAGTAAGCAGCCATTAAAAATAATGTATAAGAAAATATATAGTGACATAAGTAAATGTTTATGAAATCATAACTGAAAAAGCCAGCATTCAAAAGTGCTGTTTTTGGTTTAAAAAAACGAAAGCTAGAAGCAAATACATAGAATGTTTATAGACATGCAAACTCTATTTCAAAGCCTTGAAAATTTAGGAATACGGGAGAGTGTGAGGCAAATGCATTGTATATTGTAATAGTAATGGTTTGCATAAATTTATTATTTTTCCCAGTGTAATGAGCAGTGCTTGACTTATAGCCCTGTTGAACTATTTAATAATTAAGTGAATGTCCTTGATAATGAAATAGGAAATAAACTCATCTTGTGTCCTTAAAAACTACTAGATTGAGATGAGAGCTAATCTCATGGATTTTTTAAATCCTCATTTGGTACATGTCACATACCAATGTGGAATGAGAATGACGAACTTGGCAGCATTTGGGACTACAAGATCATAATTCAAATTGGCCTTAATAAGTCTCTAAAGTGATCAATAAGCATATAAATAAAATGCAAGGACTTGGCTGTGTACAAAAGTGTCTGTGGCAGAGGAAGGTTCAAAAAATGAAACAGATGAACAGTGTAATATTGCAGTTAAAATGCAAACACAATTCCAAGATGTTACTGCCACAATCCCATTATCTCTTTGTATCTTTTATCACCTGCAGGTAACAGTGCCTAAGTAATTTTTTTTTTAATAGTCACTAGATCAGTACTACTGAAAATACTTGTTGGTGACCTGGCTGTTTCCAGTGATGAGTGATATAAAGAGCTTATTCCAGAACACAACTCAATTCACTACTTTCTCAGAGAAAGTCTTTGTTATTAAAAGAAGAAAAAAAAAGGAGGAGGAAGAGGAGGGGGAGGAGGAGGAAGAGGAGGAGGAGGGGGAAAAAGGGGGAGAAGAGGAGGAGGAGGAGAAGAAGTAGTAGTAGTCAGCTGAACTCATCAGGTGTGCTTAGTGATCCAGTTGTTTTACATTCTGATGCAAGCTATCTTGTTGCAAAACTGCACGAGTTGTTTTGTTTTGTTTTGTGTTTTGTTTTGTTTTATTTCCTGCAAGAGTTGTAATGGTGATCAGACCAAACTCTTGCTGGCACTGCATTTAATCTTAGCACTACAATGCTGAAAACCCTTGGAAGTCTTTAGGTAGGACTGAGTCACAAAAACAAAATCTTAATTATAGCCTATAAGACAGACATGATTTGATCCCTACCTATCTTTACAAATTCATCTCGCCCTCATTCTCCAAGTTACAAACACACCGTCCTCTTGTTCCTTGAATTCTCCAACTCAGGTCCAACATTTTTCTTCCCTCAACCTCGGAAACTTCTCTCATTTTATCACATGGCTAGTTATCTCTCATCATGTTTGTCTCAGTTCAAACGTCACCTCCTCATAAAGGACTTTCCAAAACACCCAATCTGAACTAGGCTTCCTGGGTTGTTTAGTCTCTATCACTTTCTTTGTTTTATTTTTTTTCATAGTACATAGCACTCTCTGAAATTATCCTTTTATATGTCTAATTATCTATCGTCAAAATTCCTCCAACCCCCATCAGGAATATAAGACTTAGTTTACCTTGTTTTGCACTGCATTTCCAGCCCCTAAAAACACACTTGGGTTGCCACAAATAAATATTTGAGCAAATTATGAATGTATAACTCAATAAAGAAATAAGTTTGGATTTGTTAAAGCCCCTATCATCATATATTAAGCAGTGGTAACCCTAAACCAACTTTCAAAGTCAGAACTTAGACTTTCATACCTCCCTTGTTAAATAAATATTTTGAGCTATTCTATCAATTTCTGTAGGACTAAACACTGTGCTTTAACAGTGCTAATTATACAACTATATGAATATTTTATTATATTATGCCTTTATTATTTTATTTAAAGATGAGCATAAATAAAAAATATTGAAGTTTTTTACCCATTGAAAGATGAGAAAAAGATAAAAAATTATATGACAGATTATTAGCCTAAGTAGTCATTTAATTTAAACCAGATGACTGTATTCAAAAATGAAAAAGCAAAATTTTTAAATATTTATAAACTGTTGTAGTCAGTTATGTATATAGACAGTAGTAGAAGAACTAGTGATTTCACAATACGAGGTGTGATAAAAAATACAGTGAATGCTTAAATAAAAGAAATGTATTACAGTAAATGACATATTGCCATTAATCCCCTTCAAAATACTCCCCCTCACTTTGAACACACTTATCCTATCGTTCTTGCCACTTTCTGAAGCAGTTCTGGAAGTCCTCTTTTGCTAGTGTCTTTATTCCATCCTCCACCATGACGGCACTCCGTGTCACACATCGCTTCTAGTACAGCGATTTCTGTCAAATAAAAACATTACAGTGTGTCCTCATCCATCTTATTCACTGGATCTGGCACCATGTGACCTCTGGCTCTTCCCCAAAGTCAAAATGACCATGAAAGGAAAATGTTTTGAATTGATTCAGGAATTCTCAGCAGCCACAACAGCACAACTAAAGACACGAAAGAGGACTTCCAGAACTGCTTCAGAAAGTGGCAAGAATGATGGGATAAGTGTATTTGAAGCAGGGGGGGGGGATATTTTGAGGGGGATTAATGGCAATGTGTCTTTTACTGTAATTTTTAAACATTTAAACATGCACCATAATTTTTTATCACATCTTATATTTTTCTTTGCTAGAATTGTTTTCAAATAGGTAATTTAATATTCATATATATTTTCAATAACACAGTGTATAAAAATGGAAGACTGCCTGTATCTGCATTTTTATATTATCGATGGATATCAAGATACTTTCTTCTATTACAGTACATGTAACAGAATCCTCATCTTGCTTTCCACATTAAAGCTTATCTCGGAACACTTGGAAGATATATGCAAAGAGTTAAAAGAAAACAGCTGGACAGGGCCGGCCGAGTGGCTCAGATGGTTAAGAGTTAGCTTAAGAGCACGAGCTCTGAGCCACAGGGCCGCCGGTTTGATTCCCACATGGGACAGGGACACTGTGACCGAGCTGAGCTGTTGCTGAGCTACCAACAGGTGGCAGGATGGCTCAGCTGGTGAGAGCATGGGCTCCTAACAAGACGACTGCCTGTTTGATGGTGGGCTATGCCTGCCTGCAACTAAGACTAAACTCGGTACCTTGAGCTGAGCCACCACCCAGATGGATAAGTGGATAGAGCCTGCGCTCTTAACAACAAGGCTGCTGGTTCAACTCCCACATGGGATGGTGGCTATGCCCACCCGCAACTAACATTGTAACACAACACCTTGAACTTAGGGGACACGAGCTGCTGAAGGGCAGCCAGATGGCAACTGGCGCCCTCCACAACGAAGACTGAAGAACAACAACTTGGCTGGTCCCCTTTCCCAATTGTGCAACACTATTCCACTCCCTCAATTCCCCAATTAAAAAAAAAAAGAAGAAAGAAAAGAAAGAAAACAGATGGACAATGAAATAGAAAAGAATGCTGTGGTTATACAATGTAGCTTTCTAAAAAGTAAATATATATACATCCCATGAAATTCAAAAATAAAACTTCCAATGTTTTATATTATTCAGAAAAAAATTTGACCCATCCAAAATTTTGAATTTGATTATTCTAATTCAGAAAAAAATACTTCGCATATAAATATTTGATAAAACTTTGAAAAGCAAGCATACCTTCTTCAATAGGCTCATATTTTTCAATGATATCAGAAGCAACACTTTTATTCATGTTAAATATATACTGTTCTTGTTTCAAAAATTTCACCAGATTTTGTTCAAAAAGAAGTTTCCGGTTTTCAGAATATGTGTTGAAAATCTCAATAACTTCTTCTCTGTGTGCAATAATCCGGTAAATTGATCTAAATTCTTCTATGGTGATTCTTCCTTGCTTCAACCTGTCATTATCCTACTAAAAAAAAAAAATGACTGGTGGGCTAACATTGTGAATATAACAAATACACAAAATGAATAAATTAGAGTTTTTGTATAATATATATAGCAACTTACATTTAAAAGATGAATCTTACATGGAATTCTTATCTCAGATAAAATATGTAGAACTACATGAAATGATGCCAAAGTTGGGAAAAGGTTAATGGGTCATTACCACTTAAAACCCAGTGACCATCATGAATGTCCCTAGAGGGTATTACACTAAGTGAAATATGTCAGAGAAAGACAAATACCATATGATTTCACTTATATGTGGAATAAATAAATAAACAAATGAATGAATGAATGAATGAACAAAAGAGAAACAAACTCATAGATAGAGAGAACAAACTGATGGTTGCCAGATGGGAGGGGGATAGAGGAGGTGGGTAAAAAGGATGAAGAGATTAAGAAGTACAAATTGGCAATTACAAAATAGTCACAGGGATATAAAATGCAGCTTAGGGAATATAATTTAAAAAAAATTGTTGGGCCAGCCGAGTGGCGCATTGGTTAAGAGCTGGCTTGGGACACCAGAGGGCCCCAGTTCGGATCCCACATATGAGGGCCAGTGACACTGCCCTCTACAGCTAAGATGCTGAACAACAGCTCAACCTGGAGCTGGGCTGCCATGAGTCGCTGGCGACGGCATAGGCTGCAGCCCTTGCTGCAGTGGGCTGCCATAAGCTACTGTGTGTAGCCAGCAGCCAGCATGAGCGGCCAGCAGCCACAGTGAGCAGCCGTCCAGAAGTCGGTGACTGATCTGCCTCGCCCGGGAAGAGCGCAATGATGGTGCCAACTTGGGCCAGTGAAGCGATGTCCTCCACAACTAGACTGAAGAACAAAAGGACAGCAACTTGTCTGTTCCCCTTCCCCCAATTCCCCAGCGCTGTTCCCATCCCCCAATTCCCCAATAAAAATCTTTTAAAAAAATTGTAATAACTATGTATGGTGTCATATGGGTACTAGATTTATTGGGGAGATCATCTCATAAATCGTATAAATTTCTAACCACTAATGCTATATACCTAAAACTAATATAATATTGAATGTCAACTGTAATTTAAAAATTGTTAAAAACAAAACAAAACAGTGGCAATAGTGGGAGTGAACAAGGTATGGGAGACAATGAGTATTCTAGGTTGTCTTTCAATTACACATTTTATTTTTCAATTTCACTCTATTTCAAGCCTTCTTAAAAAAAAAAAAAAAGCCAGACAGTAGGTATTCCCATGCCACCAAGATGCAGCCTGCAGCATAAATGTCAGAGTAAATCAGAGACATTCAAGGTCACTGTAAACTACAGAAGCTGTAGTAGTAGTTACGTAATACCTAGAGGAAGCTAAATCTGCGTTATCACCCAAGGGTTTGGGGCAGTGACAAAAAAGGTGGGTTCCAATAAGAAAGAGTGGATTTACCTGGCTGTTCTGGAAAATTCATGCTTGCACTTTGTAAGAGACAAGAAATTAGGCTGGGTCCAGTTATTAAAAGCAACGAAACCACTATGAGGTTCTGAGTAAGAAAAAGACTAGCAAAAGCAGAAGTTTAGTGTTGTAAATTGTGCATTCCAAACTGGAAGAGAAGAACTGTTAAGGGAACAGAGAGGACATGATCCAGGTGGGAGGTGCTAAATAGAAACTAAGCCACAGGTGTCAGTGAAATTATGAAGGGAGAAATCAGGAGGATTCAACACATTAAACCTTCAGACGCATAAGGGAGAGAAGTCAGAACTCTCTGGAGTTGGGGGAGTTATATAACTAGTATGATCCTAGAATCACTTACAAATAAAAACAAAACTGAGACATAGGAAGTACACCTTAGAAGGACGTTTAATTTCAAAAGAGGCTATTTACTCCTATTTTAACTTTCTTGTTACATTGTAAACAGCTTGAGTATAAGGGGCTTGTGTTAAAGGGCTATTGTATTGTGGTGCTAAATTGACAGTTTGTAGACAGATTGGAGATGACATAGTTGTAGCTCCAAAGTATGTGGAACTTTGGAAATATAAATTAAATTCTCTGAGCTTCATATTCTTCATCTGCAAAATGGGGATAGATAACACTACCTGTATCTTCAGATTGCTAAGGGGATGGAAGATGTACAAGAAACGGTTCCATATTTCAATGTATTGTTATATAAGTCTTATCTGTGTCTGCTTCCTTCACATCATCCAGCCTAGTGTCTCATCTTTTGATAGTTTTGCTTCTAAAGTGAACCCCTAGGGTACAGTATGGGACAAACATGCTGAAGATGATCTCTTCATTTCATCAGGAAATGTTCAGTGATGATTACCAGAGAGTTTGAAATGAGGAATCCAAGAGCAGTCTGAGCTGGGAGTCAAATATAAAGTTTTACAGAGAAGATAAGTTTCATTTTAAACATTAAACTTGAAGTACCCCCAGTCATCCAAGCAGAGATAGCCAATATGCAATTGGTTGGGATGGGAAGGGGGGATTGCTATGTTATAGGAGAAAACAAGACAAGGATTTTGGAGTCAGACATACCCAGACATGAGTTTCCAGAGTTATATGAAATATAAACAGATTACACTAACATTTTTACCCTCAATATCCTTATGTATGAAAACAGGCTAATAATAACTTTTTTGGATATTTGTTAAGATAATGTATGCAAAAACCTAATACAGTGTCTAGACTATGGCAGATGATGAACAAACGGTATTGTGGAGCAAAAACAAAGGAGTTCTATGGAAAATAACCTCACAGGGTGATTCGATCATAAACTTCTAGCTGGGCAGGTCATGGTGGGTAGTCATGCCTCAGGCCTATAACTTCTTTAGTGAAAGGTTTTAAGCCAGCCCTGTCCATTTTTATTGTGCATCTAGGTTAACACAACTTTGAAATTCCAGACTTTTTTTCGTCAATAATGTTTGACCAACAATTAAGAGTGTAATCTAAGACTAGCTATGTGGATTGAAATGACACATATTTCTTATAATGCTACAAGTTAAAGATAATGATAAAACCAATAAAGGTTCTTTTAATAAAGGGATTTAAAAAGATTAGAATATTTTATTAGAGTCATAGTGTTACATCTTCTTTACTCAAATATTATAATAAAGATTCTTTGTGAGGAAATAAATCCATGTCAGAATTTATGTCAGCTTCTTAGGAAATCAATAAATGGAATGCAATTTTCTCTCTATATTTTTTAAACATCATGATGGGTGTACCTTCAACTAATTTATTGAGTGCCTACTTTTTTCAAACCTGACACTAGGTACATTCACAAATAATATCTTACTAATATTCAGAATAATCCTGCAAGTTAACTATGTTAGTATCCCCATTCTGCATATTAAAACATTTACTCAGAGAGATTGCTGACTTGCCAAGTACCACACAGCTAGGATCTAATAGAGTGAAGAATCTCGTGCCCGTTGAGCCTGTCAATAAAAACAACCCTGAGACACTGGAAGATTTTGGTCATCAAAATAAGATTCATGATGATTCATTTTATCTACTCTGGCTAAAAGGTATACCCATAAAGTGAGGAAAGATTATCAACAAAAGCTGAAGCAAAAGAGTGGGATATCGAAGAAGATGAATCTTCAGCTCTCCAGAAAATTCAGTTAGCCAATACACCTTCCTTAAGCATTCCCTATAATCAACATTTTAATAAACATATGGCAGCTTAGCTTAAGCTACAAAGTATTTATCAGAGGGCCCAGGGGAAATATTTTAATAAATAAGGATGGTTTATTATGGTCATCAAACTTGTTTAAATGTAATTTATGTTTTTAAAGTATTTGAGGTCATTTTTAAAAGGTTTTTGAAGTATTCAAAGCAAATTCTGCCTCTCTAATTTTTATAATTAATGTTGTTTTCATAGCCACTCCAAAAAGGTTTTGCTAAACAAAATAGACCTTCAGCCCTGCCATGTCTGAATAATCATCAATTTCAATTAATGAGCTATTTCTTTGCTTGTTATAACTGTTGGGCATTCTACATAATGCTTTTAAATATAGCATGCATTTCACTCAAGTGTATTGCAAACAGATAGCTCTATCTTGCAGATAATTCAAAGCAACCTGATAATCACTGAATAAGATTTGCAGTGTTTTCCATTTATTAGAAATATAATTACTACTATACCTATATATTTTGTTGAAAGTGAATTTTATTGAAACAGCGTGCTCATTGCTGTTTCTCCTTTTGGGCGATACCACTGGGGGAAAATTCTATGTGCAAAGGTCTTTCTCAAAAATTTGTGTTCTTCGGATGTGGTATTAGACATGAATTGATTAAAATTCTGATAGCTTATTGCAGCAGGAGGTACTTGGGTTCATAGAAACAACTCTGACACTTTGTTTTGTATGGTAGTCTCCTAAGAAGTTCTGCTTTTCTTTTTTGAACTTCCTCCTTGTGGCTTATAATATGGGGGCTATGTCTTATCCAGAGAAGTGCTGGCTGAGAGGCAGTTCTCCATTGGGCTTATGTTTCTAGACTTTCCCCAAGCAGAGACACCAATATCCTCTCTTCAGGACTAGCTTTTCAAAGATGTTTGCATAACGAAGAGATAGTATTTCCGTAGGAATAAACAGGTTTGTTTACTGTCCATGATAATAAAGATAATGACACTCTGGGTAAAGGTCAGACAGGCTTATTCCCCATAATAAAAGATCTGAGTTTCTTAAACTTTAGATGCCTCTCTGGTAATGCAACCCATGGTAATAATGCACATGTCATCTGGCCTTCCTCACATCACGCTTCGGGAACTGGGGCTTAGAGCAATGGCACCAAACTGCTGATGCTTGGCAATTGCTATTTTGGTGAGTCACAAGCTGTCATT